TATGAGCTGTGTGAACCAAGCAAGTGGTAGAAGTAGGAGATCCAAGGGCGAAGTTTCCAAAGCCAAATGCAAATAGAATTTCGTCTGGAAGGGGATCTCAAAGACGATACCATTGAGGAGAAGAGAAGTGGAAGACGAATCTAGTCTGAGAGGTACGGACAGAGCAAAGTGAAATGTTGAAACAATTGTGGAGCTGAGGTGATGCTCGAAGTTGAGTCAATTTGGGTTTGCTTCAGGATATTGAAACGTGTAATGGAAGCGCTTAGACCTCGATGAGGTGCAGTTCAAGGGAGCACGTGGGACAATAATGGAAGAGGAGAGAGTTGAGCTGGAATAAAAGGCAACGGAAACTTTAGTGCACGCCGAACGACAGCTGGCAATTAGCGATGCGGTCGTAACTTTGCTACAGTTGCCATTTGACTTGTCACCAAAACCATTCTTACAAGGGGAGTCAACGCGCCTCTACGAAGGCAAGACATTTGTTACAGTGACAATTAAGACAAGTCAGGTCTTCCTTGTGTAGAAAACACGTCCATTCGATTAGGGCGGGAACGTGAAAGGAAGTGAGGAGTTGTGCCTATCAAACGACACATTCGTACAGTGGCTGTCAAAATGTTGCGCACTTTGTGGCACAAGTCACTTCATAGCAAATTTACCGAACTAAGGGTGGAGTTACTCTATAAAGACGAAACGTGGAGGGCTATAATTTCGCTCTTTCCCCTAGGCAACCGAAGTGGTGGGTCGAAGGGATTCACAAGCCTCTTTTAACGGACTGTTGTTGATTCTAGGGACATGCAGTCGGTTCTTGTGTGCTTCTTGGCCGTTCTCTGCTACGCCCACGCCAACAAGTTTATTGATGGTCTGGTGGAGGTGCATTCGTCCATTCGTGGAAACTTCAAATATCTGGGCAAGACATTGGCTCCCCTGGTAAGTGCCTCGTGGTGTAACTGTCTCCGTCTCTTGCCAATTTTTAGTCCTTTTTCTTTCCACAGCAACTTTAAATCTTCCATTCACAAAACTTCACATTTGCCACCGCCTTTGAGCAGACAACAATTGATGACTTGTCTTTCTGTATTTAAAATCAGAAATATTCCAAGGAATTGGAGAGTCTTGCACACGTATGGACGGCTACTTGCCGTATGGTTCGTCCGTTTGATAGTAGACTTAACAACCTCGGAAGCAGTGTTATTACCTGCCCCCATTACCGGTCGTTGAAGCACGAGTGGCGGACTCGAATGTCAATGGAGGCGAGGGCCTTCAATCCAGCTACTGGGCAATGCGTCGGCTCTCCTTGCGAGCATTATAGGGAAGTGAGTCCCCACACTCCTCTTTACGAGCTCTCCAACTTACAAGTCCTCTTCCTCACAGTTCTTCTTTACTAGGTGGTTCAACCAAACAATACCGAATTCGGCTGCGCGACAAAAAGATGCCTCATATCAAAGCCCAAAATGATGTTTATACGTTTGTCCGTGTGCCTCTATCGTGCCGAGTGAGTGCATGATCATTTGGTGCAACACACTGTAGCTGATGAATAAAATTTGCTTTTTCGCCTCCTTAGACGACAAAGTGTGACCACTTCATCGATAGCCATAAGCACATGGACACCATCCACTTCCACTTCCACCACCAAAGCACCAATGGTAACAGGGATTACATCGGAGGAGAGCGCAATCAAATCGGAGAAGCTAAACACTAGCTTAAAGTTCCTTCTCATTGATAATAGCACCTTAATGGAAGAAGGGGAAAACATTGAAGACGCAGATGACGAGAATGAAGACGACGAGGAGGGAGAAGAGGAAGAAGAGGAAGAGGAAGAAGAAGAGGATATGGCAAAAGGAGCCAAAAAATTAGCCAACCTCTCACTAACTCTCTTTTCTTCCCTATTCTTTGCAATGCTTCTGCTCTCGTAAGGCGAGGATCAGATCGTCCCTCACCTCAAAGCGTGCTTCGTTATGTATTTGGGTGCCTCGCTTGTACACTGATGTTAAAGTAACTTGCAGAACCACTCGTTAGTGTCGGTAGCCGCGCGTAGACGACCGATGAGGTGCCACTGGCTCTGCAGAGAATGGCATTCTATTTCTCTCCTTTCCACTTGGTACCTCGTGCATTGCGTTTCTTTTGATATAGGTGTTACCTTGAAAAACCCTTTATGTTGTTCTGGCAGTGGATAAGAATTTCAAGAGTGCACAATTGCGCTTGTTGCAAATTTGCAACTTCCTTTCTATGTCATGCCTAGCACTCTTGTCACTTACGGGATCCCTCGGTGACACGCTGAAACAGTACCAACTTCTATTCATGTCATCAAAGGCTCACTCATCTGGCACATCCTTCAAAAATGGCTTTTTAGGCAAAATTTTCTGCATAGGACTGCCTTTTTAAGGCAATCAATCACGTTTTTGTCACCAGATTGCTTCGACCTCCTGCTGACATGGTTGGTGAGCTTAGGCATGGAGGCTGTGTGCTCTTCCCAGACCTGTGGGAGCTCGATTTTAAAGTTGATCGCTTTGAAGAACTTAGAAAAGCATCTGCTCACATGTCCGCATATAAACTTTACAACATTGTCATTATCTAACTAAATGCTACTTATATTTCATCAGTAGAAGGCGGTCGGCAACTGGCTTGAAGCATTAGTTGGCAGTTTGGGTAATTTCAACGGCACGGATTATAAGGATTATAAGTTTAATCAAAACAAGCGTTGGCTGCTGGAGTTACTGTTCAATTCCCTGGTGCATTTAGACACCTAAGGCTCGAATCTTCAGTGACGCCAACCTCCGCTTATGGACGCTTGTACTCAGTTCTGTTACAACTGCTAAGAAGGCATTTAAAAATGTAATCTCCAAAATCAGAAAAAGACCCTAAAATGCCTTCAGACGATATCGTTAGGGTCGGTTTTCCATGTCACGGTAGGCTTATAGACGCTTTTGGATGAGTTGACCAAGTTGCATGATGGGTGGGGGCAAGGTGATAATGTTTGCCGAAGCCGTCAACCGATGGGGGCAATGAAGATGTGCTGGTTAGAATACAAATAAGTTGGGAAGACATTGACTGCCTAACTTTTCAGCACCAGGGTGATTAACAAAAGTAGAACTTTCTTCTCATCGGTAGCTAGCATGTGAGGGCAGAGGTTTAACTCTGAACGTGCACAATGAGGTTTTGTATTTCTGCCTGGAAATTTGCTTTGCAGCGTTTGATAATCTCGATCTGACTAAGGTTTAAAATTTAGAAAATCGCAATTGGATGTAGAATTAAGAAAAAACTGATGTAAGAAAGTGGGGTGTGTGTTCCGCAAATAAAGGAGCTAATCAACGGCAAGCAGTGATTGGACGGTGGAAAGGGAGGACACCTTATTTGCCCATCCATGCATTCCCTCTCCTCACAGCTTTCTAACAACCATCTGGCTCACTCTGTGACCTTGCTTCTTTGGGTCAACCCTTTGTACTTACAGCCAGGGATTTGGAGACCTCGAAGTCTATCCTGCATTTGGCCGCTCTGGTGAATGCTAGCAACTTGATGAAGTAACACCAAGTTTACCCACTTACTTCACATATTTGACTTATGCTTGCAGCATCCATCCTTTCGATGGGCATTACGCCTATTGCTGCAGCTCCACACTGGCATCTCCTCTTTTCTCTGCGGAGACTGACAAACACTGGACAACAGTTTGGTTGTCATAGTCTTGAAACAGTCACTTTCATTATCGGCGTAACACGCCATCAGCTCAATCTTAAGTCTCAACTTTTTGCCACTTTGTGAGGAAGGATTTCGGTAATTCATGCGCCAATTTCCAAGTTGTTTGCTCAAGACTCATAAGCTTTACAGTCCTTCATACGAACAGAAGGTCAACACAGGTTTAACAGGTGACACTTTACCAATGCCCTGAACTACGAGGTGTTGGGCGCCAGGACTAGGAGGAGAAATCGTGGCTCACAAGCCATTCTTTACGGACCAAAAAGCTTCCATTTGCCATGAGTGAAGGAAGAGGTCATTGGGGGGAGGGGGGAGAGGGGCAGGGGTTGAAGCTCTCCCCTTCTAAGACCATCGACTACATCAAACAATCGACTGACAAGTAGTGCCAATGAATCTTTACTTCATCCATCTTCTAAAATCTTCTTTGGTAGTATCCACTTACTTCATTGAACACGATCCGTAATTAGAAAGGCAGTGGCTTCATTTAACAACTAAAAGTTCAACAAATAAATTTCACAGAAGCTTTGGTGCACCTCAAGAAAGGAGAGCACTTAAAATCACCACAAGGAAGAGGAGATGCGGAAACACTTTTGCTGTGTCAGAAGCACTTTCTGACTCCATTTTTCTACCATCTGTCATTCCGTCATTGTTTTCTGTTTTAGTGTCAGCACACACAAGAGGCAATTCCGAGTCCGCATTTTGTTGCACCGATTCAGTAGATTCTTTGTTCGTCACTGCCATGCTGAAGGGGATAGTAGTGGTGGTGGTCTGTTGGATGGAATGACTTTGGTTTCTGAAAGAGGCAAAATTAACTTTATTAGTCTCCTTTTCACTCACTACACGCATATCTACTGCAGTGTTTAGTTTAAGGCCACCATCTACTCACTCGGCCTGGTAGAGGCACACGGAGAGCAACTTCGATCTCCGACTAGGAACTGTGTAGCTGCAAACATTGATCGCACATCCAAATTTGGTATTGTTTGGTTGAACCACCTACCGAGGGAAAGACAATACGGAAGAGGACTTGTAAGTTGGAGAGCTCGCAAAGCGGAGTGTGAAGACGTACCTGCCTGTAATGCTCGCAAGGGGAGCCGACGCATTGGCCAGTAGCTGGATTGTAGGCCTTCTTTTGGGATGAGAGGCGGTTGCTCCACTCAAACACCAACGGCCAGTATAAGGGACACGAGCCCACGTTGTTGCCAAGATTGGCGTATCTGGGATCCTTCGGTTCGGACTTATTGCAGGTCTTTGCCCATTCCATTGCGAGATTCTCCAACTCCTTGGAATACGTCTAAAATCAACATTTGATAGGATTGCTTTTGCGTTATCATAGCATTTATTGAATGGCTGCTGGCTTGAGATTCAATGCGAACAGTGAAAAATAAAAAATAAAATTAGAATTGCAGTAGAAATGCTGAAGCATGCAAAATCACAACCCACAAAAGGTGTTAATTTCTCATCCCGGAATTGAAAGTTGTTGCGAAGAGACATATGCAATTCAATCAGTCCCGCCTTCATTTTCTCTGTTCCTGCGTCAGCGTATGCACAGGACATGACAGCAAAAAAGCATGCAAGAAGTCGTTCCATGCCTGTGGTTGGAGGTCGGATTTTGCTCTCCACTTTTCCTCCTGCCTCCAATTAAGGTGCTTCGTCTCGCACCTTTATGTGGTGGTTACGCCTTGACATTGATTAATACAGCACGTAACACTTTGACACCTCTCAGCTGAATTGACAGACACACCCTTCACCTACCTCCACCGCACCTTTCTTGCTACATAATGAAGGTAGAAATGTATCAAAAATTTACTCCAAAATATAGAGAAGAAAGCCTGATCATCTGCCTACGTTGTCGAGTCATCTGGATGGTCAGCACTGACGTTGATTTAGTCGAAGGACAAGAGGAGGGAAAGTCGTATGTCTTTCGGTCTCCACGGCACTGTCAGGGCACTGCCACTGAGCCTTGGTCGTGTCGATGGAACACTAACTGGACATGAGGACGTTCATCCAATGTTTGTCTGAAGACGAGGCGACGACCGCACTGAAAAGTGGAAGATGCGGAAAGGGTGGTGCAATGAGAGCGTTAGTGCTAAGAGGCGGCATTACAAGTTATTGGCGGTGTCATTGTTCAACAGACCTTCAGCATAAAAATAGGCCTACTCAGTGTCCAAAATGTCACATAAGAAATTACAGAATTGAGGAAATTCATAGCGTTTGAAAATGGACTGACACCCGCATGACGTGTACATTCACAACTCTCTTCCACCTCCACACTACTCACTTTGATGGAGAGCGACGATGTGAGGGGAGAAAAGCTATGAGTTTCCAAAATCGAACCTCTTTACAACGACTTCTGTTTGAAGTCGGCAGTCTGACGAGGAATTGTACGCGTCTTTAGTCGGTACGGTTCTCAGCTGCCATTCAGTCGTTATACAATTCACAGACTCAAAATCCTACCCTCGAAACCGTAAGCAAAGGTGTGTCGAAACTGAAGGGCGACTCATTTCCTTTTCAAGTGCTACAGGTGACACGCATTGCATGAAAAGACGAGACAATAAGAAGTTGGCAAACCCGCCTCCGCATTGCCAAACTCAAATCCAATGCAAAAGAGGTATTCTGCACACCGCTTGTCCAACTAATTTGACCATGATTAAATCAGAGAGAGACGTCATAAGGAAGTCTCTTAACATTACCAAGCAACACGACATTCAGCAAGCACCAGCAGCTCAAGGGAAGAACGCTGAAGCGAATTAAGGAGCTTTCGTACCTGCCGATTCAAATGCGACACCACGTGAGTAGAGCAGCATGTCATTGCAAATGATGAAATGGTTGACAAGCGAGTGTGGTTGATGTGGAACTCTTCTACCTCCATTTACGGTGAATTGGGAAGGAAAAAGTCTACTTCACATATTTGCAGCGCTGTTGGAGAAAAAAACTCCGTACTTCAGGAAGTGCTGATCCATTCAAGAAGGCGCCAAGCATCGAATTCGCTCGCAACAGAAACAATGATTTTTTACTTTTCCATCTTCGTTATAAAGCGCCTCGAAATCGCGAACAGGCGAAATTCATTGAATTCATTCACCGCGTACCTCAATGGGTTTATTCTTTTCGAGTCTCATCTTCCATTCTTTCTCCTCCTTCGACTTCAGCTTCACCCAATCGAAGACCAGTTGCGCTTTTATTAAATGGGTTTAGATTTGGCAAGACCAAACCTTGCCTGTGACCGCTTGCCTCTCCTTCCGCCTGTCTGTAAGTTTCCTTTCCATTTCTCCTATTCTACAGCGCACGGTCCTAGTTTTGCATTTTAATTTCTCCTCATTACTCTCCACTTAACCTCTTTTCAAACAAAGGCGAGGACTGCGATCCAAATTCCTCCGTGATTGTTTGTGTGATCTCTTACCACTCCACTCCATTGACCGTTTTCGTCTTGCCTCCTCCTTATACGTCCACTGAGTTGGTGCCTTAATGTGGAGTTCCCTCGACAGCTCTTCTAACTCACAGAATGCAAAGGTTTGACGACAAGATGCTCCGCCTCATCACTGGATGAGGGGTCATGTTTGAAGGAAGCTACTTTGAAATAAACTCCGCAGTGGCACCAACACTTGTGTTTGGATGTCCACAAAATTTCTCAAATCACATTTGCCTCTTTTAGTCCTTTTATTGTGTCATTTATTGCAACGTTCTGACATAAAAATTTCTTAAAATCGTGTTGATTTGATCCCTAGGAATCCTGTTGACACGATTGCAAAAAATTGCCTCCATCCGTCGTAAAACTATTCACTTTTCCTCTGTTCTCCATTCTTATTTCCAACGCTCATCGGTAGCCTTCCTGCTGACGCCTCCACGACGCTTTAAGGCACACTTTGAATGGTCGCAAAACAACGATTACACTTACATAAAAATAGGTACAGTCAGAACAATTGAAGGACGAGATAAAGTTTAAGTGAAGGGTAAAGTGAGGTCGATTCTACTTCGCCCAGAACAACGTTGTCGTCCTGGCTTGGAGAAACAGGTGGCACAAAATGCGATAACCGTGGCGATGAGATAAAGGAAAACGTGTAAAAAGGACTCGTTTCATCTCATGCACTCTGATGCTCCGTCGAGTTGGTTTGAAATGAGACGCTTATCAGACGCATCAAAAATGGATGACGAGGACATCAGAAACAGTTCCACGAAACATCCGAGTCTACTGAATTCTGCGGAAAAAATGCTTTACCAAAAGTGAAGAATTTATTCTCCCACATTTGACGTCTTTTGTTCACCTTCCGCTTCCGTTAATTGAGAAAGGAAATGTAAGTTGCACCACTTTGCATCCCGGTGGCCCACAAGTACCGCCGTGTCGACGACGCTATTCTGCGAAGACTGAATGAAAAAGCAAAGTTGCACACAAAAGAGGTCTACGGGCGCCGTGGATAAATTTTTTATGATTGCAAAACTAATCACCTTTACAGTCGGTCAGCCACCAAGGCACGGTTCCGCAAAGATCATACGAATATCTTCAAATGACTCCTTGTGTCCAAGTAATATCAGACGCCACGAGAGAGGTGGTAGGTGGTTGGAAAGCTGGAGTTATGCTTGTACATCGCTCTTTGAACAACGTGGACATCTTTCATGGTGATAGCCTAAATTGTGGTTGGGCGTAGCTCACTCTGAACGAAGTGGCATCCCACGGACACATGATTTACAGAAAGGGGAGGTTGAATGGTTCCATGCAAGGAATGACAACCGAGCCCGGGCGTGCAAGCACACATTGCTGTCTGTCGGATGCCAGTGGCGGAATTGTAATGGTGTATAGTCGAGAACGAACCGCCCGAAAAAGCTTTACCCCAAGCCAACATTACGAACCACGAAAGGGGCAGTTCTGTGCATTCTTTTATATCAGTTGTAAAAGTCTCACTAGTAGTTTCTCGTTGTGCCACTAGTTTTCTTGGCTACATACTTCACCCATTTATTGTCCTCGCTGTCGTCCTGCCAGTTCTGTGTGACATGCACCCCCACTAAGACTACCCTTCGAATGTCAAGGGTTCTCTTCTCAACCGCCTCCGATTCATTCATTTTTAGACAAGCAGAAATATATAAACCAAGAAGCAGTCGCCTGACGATTGGCACGCCGAAAAGGGCTTTGAGAATACAGAGAAATCTTTTGATATACGCTTTGAGTTGTCGTAGAACGTTTGACTCCTGCTGCGAATCGAGTTATAGTAGCGGATCCAGGTTCCTCTCATTTGCGTGATACACCTCATTCACGTAGAGGCAGCTCATATTGCTCGCGTTTCCTCCATTTCATCAACATTGACCCGCGGCTACTGATTAAATGCAAGTAGTAGTTGGCACTAAAAATTCATTTTTACTGACTCCAATTTCCAAAAAGTTTATTCAAGTCAATATTTTGGCCAGCTCTTTTAAATCATCTACTGTTTTGTCTGCATCGCTTTTGCAGCTTAAGTGCCCACAGAAAGTACACAACCTTTACTGCCGAGACTGTGAACCTTTCGGACAGAATTGAAGGGCGATGACACAAGTGGAAAGATCCTCACAATGCGCAAAAGGGAGAGCTTTTGATTGGAAGTTATGTCAGGATCCTTGTGACATGTAGAGTGTAGCAAAGAAGCTGTAATAACTCAGCAAAAGAGAAAGTGGGCGAGTAGAAGAACTAACAAAGAGCGGAAATAAACGCAATGCGGAACCGAATGAATCTCATTATTCGTCAAAACCCAAATTTCGGTATTACTATAAACTTTATTTTCCACTTTTATTAGCCAATGTAATAAAAGTCAGCCAAGCAAGTAGACACTCCAGCTGAGGGAAGGTGAGGACTTAAATGATCCAAATTTGAGGAATGAGAAGTTCATGGCTGGTCTTGGAAGAACAGAGCAAATCCAAACACCTTGTATAAGGAAAGTCGTGGAGGGGGTGCCTTCAACTTGGAGGTCTTTTTATAAAGACGCGATTCTAAGCTAGAGCTTGGCTTCTTCTCCACATCCGTAGCTCTGTTTGTTGGTGTTAAAGTCGTTGTTGTCGTCATCGCGTTGGCAATGGTCTTAGTTGTGGAGAGTGATCTGCTTTTAGAGTCTGTTGCGTTGGTGGTGGCGGTGGTAGACCGCCTTGAGGTTGCAGGCAGCCTTTTTCGAATTGTCCGTTGAAGGGGACCGTTTCGGGAACTGCGCGTAAGAGTGAAAGATAAAGCAAATCAACCAGTCTCGGGATGAGTGTTTGTTGCATTGTGCTTACAAAGTCTTGCGCTACTCACCCAGGCTTATAGAGACACACGGTAAGGGTTGAGGTTTCCGGTACAAACCTCCCAATCGGACAATATCGGACCGCGCAGGCAAATTCGGTGTAATATGGCTCTATTAACTGTGGGAAGAAGTAAAAGAGGAAAAAGAAGAAGTCATGCGCACATGTAGAGGATGCACGTACTCGCCTGTAGTGATCGCATGTGGAGACGTCGCATTCCCCTGTAGCTGGATTGTACGCCTTACTCTCATTCGCCATCAGGCTCCTCCATTTACTCGACACAGACGCGAAAAGGGGACTTGAGACGACATTGGCTTCCGAGAAAAAGTACCTCACACTCAATGGCGGTGCCGTTTCGCAAGTGTCCACCCATTTGTATGCGGTATTTTCCAATTCTCTGGAATACCTCTGGTTCAATGATGAAAAAAGGTGAACAAACGTAAATTGATGTGTTTATGTTTTGGGGCCGATGCTAGGGATGAAATCGGTTGACAAGATGGCGCTAAAAAACAGGCACTCACAAAAGGGTCCAATTTTATCCCCCAGAATTCAAAGTTATTACGGATGGACATATGAAGTTCAGTTATCTCAGATTTCGGATCCTCCACCGCCATCTCTTCCAGTTCATAGGACATAACGACCGTAAAGCCAAGGAGGAGTCGCCACATGTCTTCGCAGAGGTGAGGCGCAACGATAAATGGCTGTCTGTTCTCCTGACCTTCAGCTCTTGATGCCTCGAGATTGGCCTGAGATTGAGGCGCCTCCTGTTTCACTTTTATAGGGCGTTTAAGCCTTGACAGTGACTTGTCAGGCACAAGTACCACACAGGAAAGGTGACAATGTATCTAAATCAACTCAGAAAAAAGGAGGACAAGTTTGTGTATTTGGTCGAGGTAACAAAACATTTCGCTCTACCTTAACAACAGAAATGAAGGGGAAATTTTCTGCCCTTTCAAGTAGACAACAAACTCCTCTCTTATGGAACGATTTTGGGTGGGAAGTAAATAACAGCCACAAGACCTTACACATTTCTTCCTGTCTCTCTGCTACAGATTAACCCAGAAGAATCTCCCACTTGACTAAACCGATGCAAATTCTGAGGTGCAGTAGACTTTTGTGCCATTTGAGGCTGATGGTTGCGCCCACTTCATCTCCACTATCACCGAGCACGAAGACAGGATGACAGGGTCTGAGTATGCGTGTTCCCAAGATCGTGCGACTATTTTTTGGGTGTCGAGGTTGTTTCAGTCTCCACATTGAGGTCGCCTGCTTAATTGCAAGGGCAACTACTTCTTAATTCGGTTTGTCTAAAGTTTAACCCTTTTCCTTTAAAGCCTACAGTCCTTAGAAGCGCTCATGCGACAGATCCATTCATATGCTTTTGCAGATGGACCATGTTGGTGAATTAACTCCTCAAGACTTCTTTCCTAGATGAGCCGCTATGTCGGTGGTTGGAAACTGCACTCATGATCCCAAAATAAGGTGCTCCTTTGACTTGGAAGAAAAATGTGCGGGTGCGTAGAGATGTAAGTAAAATCAGACGGTCAACCAAATAGTAATTCAACAAAGGCATGAACCACAGAGGATTAAAGCCAACCTACTTGGATGACCAAATAGTGGCCTTGGGGAGGAATGGGACTTGCTTACATTTGGACACACACACAGGTGTATGTAGCAAAGGGCAAAGAGGGAAGTGTACATTCTCATCCCTTCTCGAAGGGCGCTAGGTGAACACACTGTCTTGCGGAGGAGAGAAGGAAGTAGGCAATGAGGGAACAGCATCCGGACCAAATCTACCGTTTAGGTGGTGGAACTTCGCACGATGGTCTTTAAAGGACCTGGCAGTGTGTCTACTAATCAGTTATTTTTTGAAGCCTATTGCATTCCTAAAGCCACATTTGCAGAAGTTAGTTAAGCACATCTCGCAAGCACATACCAACGGGAGGAAGTTCTTTCAGTTTAAGTAAGCTCAATCTCCGAGGGGTACCGCTTAAGACGATAGTTAGTGATGTCCACCGAAGGCTGAGACCATGTCTTCAGTTGGACTAGCCCTGTGCACAATGATACTTACGCATGCAACCGTGACACCGAGTCAGTGGTTAAGTTAAGCTGTACCTCGGCACCGCGATGTGCTCAAGTCTTAATTTCATTCCAAGATCTACCATTGTCATATGAAATCGCTTGTCATGGCGTAGTTGTCAGGAGGTGAAGCTCATTAGTTTGCCCACGATCCTCTAGCTGCGGAAGATGGCATCAATAGCATTTTCGTGTGCTCCTTCCTGATTGCATAAGCAATAAAATGGGGCCTCAACACCTTTGGGTCATGTGCACATTCATTTATTCATCCTCTTTATAATGGAAGAATAGCCTTAGAGCCTACGCGAGCCGTTCATCTTTTAGTTTCTGGACCACGCGCATGCCTCCTTCCATCCATCCACCCTTCTCATATTCTTCCATTTGTCTAGCTACCAATCACTCCAATTATTTTTCCTCTATTCCTGCCCAGATGTTTGAGTGTAAGGACTGTTAGCATTCTTACGAGGACCGAATGACTGCAGAGTTTGGGTGATGTGACTTCTCTCCCACCAAAATCCTCCTTCCTCTCCTTATAATCGACTCAAAGGAAAGAAATGTTATTTTATGTAATATGCAAAGAGAATAGCTAGAGTTATAAATCCTCACTTTTAAAGACAGAGAGGAAGCAAAACAGCGCGATTTATGAACAGATTTGATTGTTGATACACTGAGGCCGATGCATAAATCGGAAATTTGCCTACACCGTTTAGTTGTGAAAGTACAGCGGATGTCGCAGATTGTTTACGAATCGCATGCAGCAAACATGCATCGAGAGTAATTGAGCATTTTAAGGCCTAAGTTAAGGGTCTAAATTCAAATGTCCAAAGGCCACAAATGGCTTATTTAACCAGACCCCCAAAATATTATCTTCATTTTACTGTCTGTAAAGGGAAAACAAATTTGCTACTAATATACCGTACTGATATTCGAATTCCCTCCCGTAACACTTTGTTTATGTGATCACATGACGCTTGGCGGTCACTTTAGGATGTGTCCAATCTATGTAATCGTGGGCTACGCTCAAGCCCAGTTGCTCTGTCCTCTTTGAAATACATGTATCCAGCTTCACTTACTGCCTTCTTCCACCCAGTTGGTAGTCACGGGACATTAACTACACTTCTCACAAATACAAAGTTAAGACGATTTTCCTTAACCAATTATCATCACCAGGCGTCCCATGCCTAAAGTTAGGAGATGAGATGCAAAAAATGACCTGAATGCAACGTTAAAAAATTCCGTGTGTACGCTGAAAGGCTTAAGGAATACAGCTAGAAACCATGACAATGGACAAAAAATAGTTGCATTCCCAATCTCATCATGGATGGAATTTCACTCAACCGGCGTCTACAAAGTCTCCCCTTTTCTGAGCACCCAATTAGGCATGACAGTACAAATTGTAAGGCGCCGAGCACAAAAATAAGAAATTTTATTCCCGTGCCAAGGTAGCGTCAATGCATAACGCAATGCGCAACTTTCAAAATAAGCTCAGGCCTTAACCCTTAGGGATCATCTTAGGCGGCTCGTGCACTGCACCTGTGTCTAAGCTATCTTCGAATCGTCCTGCTACCCAGGCGTTATCGATCGAGACTTATCGATTAAGGCATTGATGTGTAACCACCTGATGTCAGGCGATTCCTTTAGTATTCGTCATGCTCTTGAGTGCATGGGCTGACCTTGACGTCAAGCTCAGGCTTATTCCCTTTCCCCTCTCAAGTATATATGGGTTCGGTCTAACTTAGTGCCTTCTTCCACTTGGCGAGAGGCCTAGTGACACCACAACTACATTGCCTGTATACTTTGCCGCATCTCCTTCCAACACGCTAACAAATAGCATACTTGAATAGACTTTTTGATTAAACATTTAATTTTATTGTACGCTACAGCTTTGAGGACATAACTACATAACTTCCAAAATAACATGACCTCAAAGGTGTTCTAGTTTGTGATTCGAGCAACAAAGGTCCCATACTTGTTTCAATTTTGTGTGCAAAGCGAAGCTTTTGCGTGTTTGAGGTGATTCGTTTAAGGATAAGCTTCTAGCATTGCAGGTACACTTGGAACCTACACTTACTTATTTGCCTCGAGAAACCAAAAGAACATGGATAATATCAATGTTCATCGCCAAGGCTTCATGTGCATATGTCATCCCTATGCTAAAGATGCGGTGAGCGCTTGGAACCTTGTGTATACCAACTACTAGCTAGAATAAGAAAGCTATAGCAGTGCCAACTGCAAATCTTCATGTTAGATCTAGAAGGATGCCAAATCTTTCGTAGGGCTAGAAGTGGAGACAACTGTCATGAAAGCCAAATTAATTGTCTAATATTAGTATAATTGAATTGACAAGCGTGCTTTCAAGGGAGATGGTGGCTAAGTCACAAATCTCCCTCGTCTTTGCTGATCAAGAGTACTATGTCTGGTGGGCGTTGAGCTCCGAAAGTGAAAGGCGGAAGTAAAAAAGCACTGTCTACCCGACAAAATTTTCGTTTACCTACACATTTAGGTTAGCCTTGTGGTGCTCTTAGAAGTGGGCTCACTTCGCCTGTTTCTGAAGCCTAGAATAGGCTTGCTTTGTGGCAGTGTTTGGTAGTTCGATATCGGACTCAGTTAGGCGATCAAGCTATCGATAAGGCACTTGCGGTGGTATTCCTCTCTTTGGAATCCTTTTGTGCATGCGTTTTTGTTATGTTAGTAGTAAAGTTCTTTTTGAAGCCCAACGAATAGTCCCAGCTCTGATATGTTAACCAAAATTGGTAGGTAGTGTGAACATATGGCCTTTTCTTATCGCAAGTGGTGACGTAGGCTGAGTGACGCGCGGGCAGTGCACTGTCAACCAGTCAAGTCGAGGTATCTAATCAGGCAGCCAATCGTGGCGCTTAACACGAAATGGTGGGTCGAAGCAACCAATGAGGGGTGAGGTGAGAGATTGCGTTGCCTCACGGTTCGCTGTTAAGGCCTACGCACGATTTTTGCATGCAGACACCGAATAAGACTGTACAATCGGAATTAGTAAGTCGTTCTTTGTTGTTAACCTGTGAGATAGTCAATACATTGCTACACCATGCATTTTATCAGAACATCCTTGATTCTACTATCTATCTAGACAAATGCTTGTTTAATATCCTCTATCCTTCAAACGCATTGGGCTATCTACATTTCAAAGCAGCGTATGCTCTTACAGCGGGGCAATGGCGGAAAGTATTCGCGAGAACCGGCGGAGCCTCATAACTACCTGCAGCGCCTGTCAACATCCTGCACCTTTTCTCCATGACTGCCAGCACTGTCAGTTAAGCATCTGCTCCAGCTGTTGTGCTTCTCATTATAGGAAGGTGATGCTGATTGCTGCCAACTCCTTTCTTTCGTTTTCCAACTCCGAATTCTTCACTTCCTCAGTCTCGATCTCATTTTTTTGCTCACGAGCCAAAGTATATGAAAAACTGACCCAATTAATGAGGAGTTGGGACAATTAGTATCAACTTTAAGCAAACCATATCTGTAGTAGAATGTCATAAAAATATCATTTTCTCATCTTTCAGGTAGCTGTCTCCGTGCAAAAATTGACGTGTGACTTGTTGAAAAAGAAGAGGAAGTTAGAAGCGATACGAAATTCACTGAAGGCTAAGTTCCTTCATCAGGAGTCTCATTTGCGGGATGGCATTGAAGAAGCGGTGCTGCGGCTTAAAGACGCCTCCGACAGGTCTTTGGACCTCAGTACCGCCAATTTAGCCGCCTTTTTCACTGCGCATCAAAATGAGTTGTCAGCCCTTAAAGAGGCCATTATCAATATAGAAGAGCGTATTGCGAAATGTTCGCATGAGGAAATGCCTATACCTAATACGGTGAATTGAGAACTTCAATTAATAATACCTGGAACCTTCTTTAGATGGGTAGTTTGCTAGATCTGAAGGAGGAGCTGAGTTGTATGAAAGCGAACACGAAGATTGTCCTTGGAGAAGCAACTAAATGTGAGGAGCCGAAGTTACGTGTCGACCACTCGATAGGTGTATGTTCTACAACATTTTGTCTTGATGTGTCTTTTCTTTGGCCTTCTTCCGTTTTGATGCTAATTCCTCTTGCTTGTTCAGCTAAGTAGGGCACTGGAGACCCTGTCACTGATCATCACGACAGATCAGGAAGACGAGGATACTGAAATCAGGTAGAGTTGGGGACACTCTCTTCCTCCTCTTCAATTTGTATAGAGAGCTTATCAACGGTTGTTTTACGTCCTGGTCCTTATTTTAGTTGTCAGGACGAGGTTTCAGAAGCCAGCAGTGTCATTGGCCCTGCTTCCACGGGTAGACAAGTCTTCGTCGGTGGTGTCCCGGGGAAGGTAGATTACAAACAGTTGAAAGAATATTTTTCACGCTATGGTTCCGTGAAAAACACCTTCATTTCACACCGAAAAGGGTTTGCGTGTATTACCTTTGAGAGCGAGGAGTCTGTGCCCAAAGCTCTCTCCCAACGCTTTCAAGTTATCTGCGGTGCAAGGATGGAAGTGAAGGAGTACATCAAGAAGAAGTACGCCTTATTTTAAATTACTCCTGTTCCAAACACAAGTTAAGAAAGGCATGCATTAGCTACTTGTGCAAAGACTTTGTAGATTCGCTGGAAATGTCGCCTCCACTTTTTCACTTGAGCATGGATTTCACACAGGTGTATGGATTAGGTAGGAAAAGTTGGTGGAAAGTTGCTGCAACTCACAGTTTCGAGGTCATCGTGTGAAGTGCGCCAATGTAATCGTCAGTCCTAGCTCGTGGAATGCATTGTTAAGAATGGGAAGAAGCACAATTTAAGAAGAAAGTTTTGCATTTAGCGGTACTTCCTTCTACCTTCTATAAGAATATGCTAACCCTTTTTGGAGTAAAACAGGCGACTAGCTTACAGAAGGTTGTGCATTTCTTTTTGCCTTTAGTTGCGCCACTTCCAAGGCGGAGGTGCCCATAGTTGCCTCATCATCTCCACCCTTGGTGGAACTAGAGAAGGTCTATATCGGTGGCATTCCAGCAGACACGACGAGAGCCGCATTGGAATCTGAGCTGTCGCGATTTGGATCGGTAAAGAAACTTGATATGGTTCCTCACCGCGGCTTTGGGGTAGTAGTATTTAATGACCCCCAGACGACTGCACTGGCCATCTCAAAGCGTTATTTAGACGTGGACAGCAAGAGGGTAGAATTATTACCCTTTGTACCTGACAAGAAGGCTCGTGCTGCTTCGGTGTAAGTGCTTTATAATCGAAAAATTTCCCACTTTGAGTTTCGGTAGAGCTCTTACTTTTCGCTAGCATGTTTCTCATCACACTGAGGGCGTAGATTGGTACCTTTTGTTTATCCTTATAAAAGGAATAGGAAGTTGGACAAGGTGAGGTAATTTCTTCTGTTGTTCAACGTTTTTGACCATATCTCGGGTGTCAACTGATAGTTGGAGGGAGGGAGGAAGTGAATTAATGGGATTTGGCTAAGCTAGATGCAATTTGATTCAGCGCAGTCGTGATATCTGGCCCTCATCAAGGTTCCCATGGGTGGTTAGATTGGTTTCTTTTGTTTGTCCAGGGTTTCATGCTCTGAGTTGATAATGGCGCTGTTGTTAGGACAAGGGAACCTTTGGCTTGGCTGACGTGCGGTTGCACTCATCACAAAGACTGGTGAATGGAATGTTGTTCATCGTTGTGTGGAGCCTTGCGCCTCTCAGGGATGAATGAAAGGATTGGCAGCATGATGTACAAGCATTAAGAGCATTATGTGGCCCTGTTTGAATCGACCTTTAGTTCATTTGGTGGCTCGGTCACCACGTTATTAGACGTTTGGAAACTCATTCACTCAGTTTCCCCCTTAGATAATATCCGCATTACAGCTTTCCAAACAAGTACTGTCTACGCGTCAAAATTGTCATTTGACCTGCAACGTCTTTGAGCCACTTTCGGATGGCCTTTTATATCGCTGAGGTTAAAGACAGCACTTGTCTCTTGACCTATGAAAAGTCTGACGTACTGGAGGTGCGTAAAGAACGCTGTAGAAGTGAAGCCGAAATTCCTTAGACGTCATAAAGTGTAAACCAAAGTGAGAACGTATGAGGTGCAAATCAGCGGTGAATGTTGCATCATACATCGTTCTCAAATGTCTCCTATTGTATTTAGTCTAAATACTTGTGATTTTTTCTCATCGCTCAGACGTAGCGCCTCTCATGCAGCGACGGAGACAGCAAACATATCATCATCACCCTCAACTGCTGAAATATCCCCTCTGGAAGCGCAGGCAAAAGTTTTCGTGGGTGGTGTTTCATGTAAAACAACAATGAACTCATTGGCATCAGCGCTATCGAAACTGGGTCCAATAAAGCGAGTGGACATTTTTCAGAAAAAGGGTTTTGCTATTGTAGTCTTCGAAAGGAGCGTGACAGCCGACTTGGCCATCTTTATCCACTGGTACATGGTTGACGATAAGATGGTGGAATTGCTACCTTTCGTACCCAATAAGAAGTTCGAAAAATCCTCAGATGAGCATGAATCCTCGTGAGTAACGTCTTATACTCTCTTTTTTTTACTGCAATTATGCACGTGAATGAAGGATACAGTGACTTTTCATTACGCATCGTAGTACCGTGAACTTGTGTAGAAGAAGTCTGACACGGCCTCATCCATTTGTCTTATTTCCAATGTTAAAAAGTCTAGGCCGGTCGGGAACACTGAGAGCGTTGACGGCGCTTCTTTTGTCATTTCACTCCTAGTGACCTTTGCACTGGACAGCACGGTTTTGGCCGTTTGCCAGAGTACCCCAGACTTAGTGATCATCCGAAACAATTTGGGAATTGAGAGAGCTTGCGTTTTAACTTTTCCCATCTCATCTAGTCACCCTAATCGCCAACGTGGAGGCGCGGTTTTTGCAAAACCACAGAACATTCAAGAAGTTCCTAAAGTCAAAGCACAACATCTCAACGGTCAGGAGCCAGTCCTCATTCCTCCTTGTAGTGCGAAGCATAAAGCCAGGTTAGTTTTTCGGTCTATCAAGCCTGCCGGTTGGTTGGGGATGCAGTTCTCGATCACACCTCTCTTTTGGCTTTGTAGTCATTCTGGCCTCGCCCATACCAGCGCTGTTAGTTCAATTGTCAATGCGCGGAAATTGATTATCCGGGGCGCGGGTAACGGCACAACTCACGCAAACCTAAGGGATTACTTTCACAACTATGGCCCGGTGGACTATGTCAATGTTACTGGCACGGAGGCCTGGGTGGTGTTTAAGAACGAAAAAACCGTTAACTTAGTTTTGGCTACTCAACCCCACTTTATTAGGGGCAGGCAAATTGCACTGAGCAGACCCTATGGAGGAGGTGGGTCTTTACTCGGGTAAGTAGGAAAATTATTTAGCATCAAAGTTTGACAGGCTCGCCCTTGCCATCCATCCAAAGGTGAGCCTTCTCACCACCTTGTCCTCATTTCAGTCCTCTCACTTCTCCACCTGATAGCACAGGCGAGATACCCTCGGTGACATCAGGTAATACGAGGAGGATGCTTGAATACTTGCCTTCCTTTAGAGGCACCATTTCATTCTCAATCACTCTACTTTGCTTCATAAACAGTGCCTCGGTCGGGTGCTCTATTCAACCCTCTCGAGCGCTCTTCATCGAACAAGAATGGCAGTAATGAGGGTTCAGGACGGAGCCACCTCCCAGCACCCCGTATGCATCTGTAAATGCTTGTGGCTGTTAGTTGTGCAAGAGACTTTGTGACAGCGAAGTTTACGGGGGCGCGCAGTAATTGCCCGTCATGGAGACTGAGCTATCGCCTTGCTGATTACTTGTCCAGCATGGCCACTCACGCATCCTGGCTCTTTAATTTAACCCTTGTTGATAGCCCAAATGACCTTCTGAGATTATGTTTACTCTATTTCTTTATTGTAAATTACACGGTGTAGGCAGTTGTGGTACAGCGTATTTGTTTATCGTGTTAATTTGTGTTATAGGCAGGCGGTGACGTCGCTATTGCCTTCTTTTATTCCCCTTTTTTCCTTTATCGCCGCAGTTTTTATTCTTGCCTTAAAGACTGGTAATTTGCTTGCACCAAAGCTATCACCTTGGGACGGTTTAATTTGATTTACCTGCCCTCAGAACAAATGAAACCAAATATTTTCTTTGAGTTGACGTTTTGTTTCGATAGGTAAGAGGGATGCCACTGTGGCGGTTGGAGAGGTTTGCAAACCCGTTGTTGGTTAATCCTGAAGTAAGTGGTAGTGAATATTTTTCTAAACCATCAAGTGTTTATGCATGTCCTCCACACTTAATGGGTGGGTACCGCGGGATGACTATTTCACGGCTGAGGAAATCGAATAGACCCATTTCTAATAGAGGTAGGATTTGCCACACCTGGCGAATCTTGTTGTTAGGCGGTTGGATTCAGAGGGAAGACGAAGTAAATTGAAATCTTGCGAGATGGTGGGGACGCAAGGTCGTTGTCCGTTCTCCGCATTGGGAGGTCACAGACGGCCTAATTTTGAGAGAATCAAAGGGTTCTTAGCCACGCTATGGTGATAAGTATGGTTTGGCGGTTGGAATGCTCTTCAGCATCAATTAAGAAGGAAGATGGAAGTTCACGTTTAGGCGTTACAGGGCTGTGACAACCATAAATACTTTGGGAGGTCATAAGTGTATTCCGTGTCCCTAGTAAATGCTTATTTTCATGCAAGATTGAAGGTTTTGGAAGTATTTTCGCTGTTGACGTTTCTCTTACGAATCTATCCACAGAAACAATGTCGCTAGCTTTGGTTATCTATCTGTCCACTGGTCTTCTCTGGAATAATCGTTATGAAAAGCCTGGTGGATACCGCATGGAAGCGTTTTTTCATCCACATTATTTAATGTACAAAATGCGCATCGATGTGGGGTGTTACGTCAGTTCCTATGGGTGGGACCTTTCTACAATTGACTCACTGGTTCTGGGTGTTATGTGTCAGTCCTATGCGGTCCAGCACTATTAAGTGATGTGTACAGATCTAATGCTTTGTAAATCAAGTAGTTTCCTTATCAGTCTGCCCCTAAAAGATGCCGATTTGTCTTGATGTAATGCCGGTACAGTTGATAGTTAATGGATCGTCAAGGTCAAGGAGTGAAAGCCGATCAAAATGTGTTAATGGAGCTGATATTTCAGTCCTTGGATTAGTTCTCAAGTAATGCTTCCACAATACTAAGGGTAATTTTAAGCAAGTGATTAAGGAAGCAACAAATGGAGTTGTTACTGCCACGTCACAAGACGCCCTATTTGGATTGGAAGCATTCGACGCAGCTAAATACATTTGGGAAAGAAGGAGAAGGTGTGGAGCTTCGGCACGACCCAAAGGCCAGCTTACTAAACCATAATTGAAACAAACGCCAGCATAAAAGCCAATCACATAAATAGTTGAGTAAGCAAGGTGCTCTAAGTGATGCTCCTCTTGTTCCAGCATATCGAACCGCACTGAAGGTGAAGTGGTGTTCTTCATTAGACGGTGAAACTCAATTGGAAATCAGCATGAGTTCTAACGCGGTTGAATAAGAATACTGGTTTTCAGGAGAAAATCAACCATCTCATTTTGCCCTTCACTGACTCTCCACCGCTTTAGTGTGTTTAAAGCTTTTCTTCACTTCTTTTCCGACATAAAAATAGAAAAATACATAGTATATTGATAATAAGGAGGATTGAGAAGAAAATACAACAATAATTCCTGATTAAAATATAAATCTTTAGAGAGGTCACAGTTGGATTGGCTAGGAACATCGCACTGTGGTTGGTGAAGAAGAAGCGCGATGTTTGCTTTGCCTTGACTCGCGATGAGAGCACTATCTTGCACGGTGTCGGCAATGTCGTGAACCCACTTCACTTGGATCACTGCAACATCTTAAATATGCTGCAGATTATTTTGTTTGTGCTTATATTTGTTCTGGTTTTGTTGGCCATAATTCCAAGGTATTCTGACATTTCAATGCATATTTTCGGTTTTTATGCAGGATACTGTTTTACGCTATTTCGTGGCGTATAAGGCAAGTATTGCCATGCGCAATCAACTACTCAAAGTTGAACTTTCGCGGTGCATACCTTGTCAGGGTAGCTTTCCTCACTGGAGATTCAATTGTAGGTTCATTGGTTCTGTTTCCATTTGAGTGCAAATCATAGGAAATAGACAGGGTTTGTCTTACAAGTTGGCTCTTGGATCCAAGTGCGAGGTATGTGGCCTAATTAAGCAGAACTAATAAACTTGTTCAGTTCCCTGATATGCATTTTTGTTTCATGCATCCACTTCTATACCTCACCAGATAGTCTAGTAAAGATTTGGTACTTGACAAGGTGTGCTAAAAGACTTCCTATGGACGTCCCCAAAAGAGGTTTCTTATCCAACGCCACATTGGTAAAGTAGTAACAAATGTACTTATGTGTTTAGTTGAAGTGGTGTTCTTTGGTAGTAAAGTCATGTTGGATCCATTTATCATATAATCGTACGAAGTCTATCAATCCACCACAAATTTGCACGCTTGAGAATCACAAGGCAGTGACCTCTCTTGTGCTTGAAGATGTCATCGTATACGGCCACACACTGAAGTAAGTAGGCGTTGCAGGCTCTAATCCGTGGTCGTCAGGCACGAAATATCCGTTAGCGTCGGAAGTGCCGTGTTGAAGCCGATCATACGGGCAAATTGTGTGTCTGGTGATGAATTTGTTTGTCAGCACTGTGGTGCAGCTCGCAGTGAGGTAGATGACGATAGTTCCTCATTGTCGAGTCCTCATTGCCTTTTCTGCCGTCGCTTTCACATGTGTGGTACCTTTGTGGCCATTTTGAGCACCGCTGTTGAACTGAAGTTGGGCGTGCAAGACGGAAGCGCGAATGTGAAGGTGTTTGGCACGTTTTTGATGGCTCGAGAATGTGAGTTTCCTGTAGCGTGTCATTTCTTTAGCCAACTTGTGGGAGTTTGAGAAGATAATTGGTGGCGAAGAAGATCTGACTCTTGAAGAAGTAGAGAAGTCCTCGCAATCTTTCAGAGGGTCTATCGCCTGCTTGAGCGTGGAGTTTCTGCCTTCCCGTTTGCTGAAGTCAAAATTGGCCTTGAACGTAAATTTGCTGAGGCAACCGATAGAGAAGTTGGGCTTCTGCTTCCGTTGATGGATTTTCTCTAGGAGTCTTACGTTAAAATCGCAGGTGATTCGTTTCAAAAGTGGTGCAGAGAACCTAAGCCTTAATGTTGGAAATATTAGGCTGCTTAGTGGGCGTATTGATGGCACTCGTGAGGCTTCAAGGGAGCTGACGATTGAGCGTGTTGATGTGTGCGCCAACGTGACAGAAGATAAAGTGGATGCTTCGCTGACTGTGTGCGGGATATTCGGCGGCTTTTCACAGGACGCAGACGAGTCATTGTTCTTTCAAACTCTACATTCTGGCCTCAGTTCAATTGTAAAATCACATAGATGGCTTGCACCGAGTCGCAAGACTAGTTATGATTCGATCTACAGCAGAGCAACTGAAGGAAAGTGTATTCACTTTGGCGTGTACGTTGAACCGTCTAAGGATCAGAAGGATTGCGTAAGTGTCTACTTTGAACATATATTTGTTGTTCTTAAGGCTGTTCGTGTAGCATGGCTTGCGGCTGCGAATGCGGTTCCAGCTCTAGTTGGATCTGTAGGACTAACGAAATTCGACGTAACTTTGCCATCAATTGCGACGGAATCTTTCAGCTTTGTATTAGAGATCAATGGCTTTCATCTGAACGCGATTACAGCTAAATGGAATCCTACTGAAAGTGAGGAGGTCAGTGGAGAACTTCGGGATGATAAAGAAGAATCTTTTACCTCTTTGCCGATTACCAACGTCTTGACGCAGTCGGAATTGAAATGCAGGCTTGTGAAGGTGGCTCAGTTCTCAACCTGGGTTAGTTGTAATAGAGATTTTACCTGCAAACGTGCTAGACATTAAGGTGAAATTATGGTTTTCAGGAGCGGATGCATTTCTGACGAGAAGTGTGTATTGTGGAGGTAGTTATGGCAGCATGTTTTGATATAATATCATTGCAAGTTTAGGCTTTCGTTTAACGGGGCATCGTATGTAAATGTAATGGTTCTTCACTTTTTTGTTTCTATGGTCCTACTAGTGTCACGTTAACGTAGTGGGTTTCCGCATCTCCGATGTTGAGGTAGAAATGCCTTCGGTGATGCTAGCGGACATGCACCGACACTTGACAAAGGTAGTCGTTGGGATAGATGATGTCGCTTGCTGTGGCAGACGAGGGAGGCGAAACGGATGGTTTCATCGACATGGGTTTACCACTGCTGCTGCCACATCATTGAATCATTTCACATTGGACGGACACTTTGAAGCGTTTCGGTTGGTAT